TTAAACCCGCACCTATTAAGAGTTAAAATTAAAATTGGATTCAACATTTGTGCATAAAACAATGTAAAACTTTATTGCCGCTCTACAGTTTGAGTTGAACCTTTGATGTATTTATTATATCTTTAAGTCTGTTGCACACATACACTTGCATCCAATTCACTCCCCTGAAATTCCACTCACTGACTCCGAAGACATTGGTTTCGATATCTAATAATCTAACATTAATCAAATTAATCGAATTAATCATAATTAGAAAAAAATTACGTTAGGTTCTATCATTGAATGATACCTTCCTCCTCTGTATATCACGATTTTATTTTTTCTGTATACATATCAATGTAACCATCGTATGACTTGTAATCTAGTTTATAATTTTATATTATTGTGTTTATATATGCTATTTTTTTTTAATATTATTAACAACCAAATGGAATGCAATACTAAGACGTAATAACTGTTTACATTAGGACAATTTTATAGAATGATGTCCCGACCCGGCGTTACCCGTGTATTAGAATAGACACACAATCGGCTGATCGGATCACTGTATCTCAGTGGTATGGAAAACCATAGAGATGTATTGATAACTATTGATACTATTGATAATCATAATTAATCATATTTTATTAATTAAAAATTAAAAACTTGTTCTTAGGGGTATGAAAAATAGTTTACGTCCTATTCTCAGACCTACTGAATATACACACAAAATTTTATAAGAATCGGTCAAGCCGTTTCGGAGGAGTTTTGTTACAAACACTGTGACACGAGAATTTTATATATATATATATATATATATATATAGAGAGAGATATTATATTTAAACGTAAAAAACAATTGTTCGCTTTAATTTTTGGAGCATCAGGATTTACGGCTATGCAAGAAAATATTTCCTATATTAGAATAGATACTTAAATATAAACAACAAAACAAAGTACGGTAAAACAACAACGGTTTTTGATAAACAAGAAACCGTAAAATATTATATTATATTGTTTGAACATTTTCCTAGGACGCACCATGTAAGTTTTAATCACAAATAATGCAAAAACATATATTATGGCGCGAGATTCTGGATATTGTTAAAATTAACCGTAATAGTATATCTATACAAAATAAAAATAGACTATATATTTTTATATTTTAAATGGAATATTTATTTCAAAATCTTGCATCTTTAAAGATACGTTGCCAAGTAAGTGGTTCAATTTCAATACTGCTAAATAAATAATAAAAATATATTTTACATTGATTTAGTAATGTAAAAGAGTTGTATATATTGTGAATTTTTCCTATTAAATAGATTGTAAAATAGTTTGCGTTAAAACGCATCGCATATGCGATGAACCACAATAATCTAAACACCTTATATCTTATTGTGTAACCAACGATAATTACATTTGTATAAATTATTAATTATTATACAAAATAAGAGGGCAGTGCATTAAGCACCTACAAGCCGATAGTGGGGAAATAACATTATTGGAATCGATACAATGCTGAATTTCCACCGTATACTATAGATATATAATCCTAATATTGTGTAGGGTATTATAGGATGTAATGATGAGTTGCTCTAATGAGGGAGAAATACAAATTAAATATTATGTTAAGTAAAAAATCACAATGAAACGCTCAGGGTGATTGCTTGTTTATTTATGGATAAATAGTTATGCATGAAGATTATAAAATAAAGCGCTAGACATAATGATCATGAAGGGGTAGTTGGGTAAATAATGGTTTTTAAAGATTTCATTATGTTATTCATAGGTTTTAGTAAATTTTAAAAAAATTGTTGTAATAGTGTAGATATTTGAAATATACACGCAAACTAGGAAAACTTTTTAGAACAACATCTAAGTACAACTGTGACCATATTTGATTAAACTTCTTGACGCATTTACGTAGCAAAACTGTTAAGTTTCGTAAAACACATTTTGTTTATTTAGGTTTCCTTCACTTGTTTTATACACGTTAATTCTTCTCAACGCATAAACGTGCATTGAGAGTAAAAAAAAATATATACTATATTTGAATTAAAACATTTTGAAGACTCTTTAAAAACTATTGAATAATTAAAAAATAACAATTATGCATACAAAACAAGTTTTTGCGTTGTCTTTAATAATTTGTTTTTCAAAACTAACAGTTTCTACACTCACAAGGGAGATGATGGTAAGCGATATTGGAGTTATTTTTTTAAAACTTGTATTAAAACACTGTTATCGCAATTACAATTTTATACATAAAAATGTTGCATAACCTAAAAAGGATTTAACTCACATGTTAATTTTATGTTTAATACTTTGTTTTTAAGGTAGCATTAGAAGATGTGTTCACGGATGAGGTAATTCATTTTATCTTAAACAGATGTAAAAGTATCGCTATTTTGGGTTTAGGTAATTAAAGTGTTTTATGAGAACTATCATGTAAATACTAAAAACCTAAATATAATTAAAGACACAATACATCTTTTCTTTTTTAAAAAATCTGATTAAGACAACAAAAGCTCTAATATAGAAATAAAATCACAATAAATTGTACTAATATGAAAATAACATCCAATTTACAAAACATTTTGAAAAACATGTATAGTTTTGTTTTTTTACAAATAACATTGTCTTTTGCGTCATACTTAGTAAACACTAATCATGTTGTTGGATATTTCTGAATAAAAACATTATTTGAATAAAATGAACTACAGGTGATTTTTTTTTATCGTAGCCCCCGCAATATCTCACTTGGTTTAATAAATAATTTCATTTTAATTTAAGGGTAACCGCATACCGGGTGATTGGTTAACTATGGACCACTCAATATCTTAGAAGATATTAGACTTTTTTAATTATTTTTTTTTTGTACTATTATAGTTATTAGGTGGGACAAATTTAATGTATTTTTCAAAATTTTAACACCATCCCTTATGCGTTAAAACCATATCAACTTTAGATTTTTAAATGGTAACCCCCAATTTTTTTTTGATGATCGTGTTTATTTTTTTTAAATTTAATTTTAGGCGTAAAAACTAGCTAAATCAGACAAGTACTTTTAAAGTTATAGCTTAGTACTACAATATTATAATATTAGCTTATATGAGATGCTTTTATAAGTTTTACAGCTAAAGAAAAAAATCGTTTATCGCCGGATCTCACGTTTCACAAAATAAGATTGATTAACGATACGGTTGTAGATTAAAGTTAATAGTTGACGGTCGTCGGTCACAATGCAAACGAACTAATAATCAATCTATAACAATATTATATGGGTAATGTCTTCTTATCTGTTTTTTCTGTAGTGTTCCTAGCGGTGCGGTGTACCTGTACGTATTGAATATTAGGCATTAGCTGCTGTTAACAAACAATATTATGAGCCCTAGTAAATAGTTTTTTTTTCAATTTCAACCATAGGTTACCGTGGTCTAATCACGGTCTTATATAGAGTATATACCGTGGTTCTACCAAAACGATTCGTTACTAGTGTAGATTAATATCAACACAGAACAAATTATTATAAAAATACGACTACTTGAAAACTAATAAAAAAGTTCATTATTCTAATTTTTCAATTATTATGGTTATTTAGCGTCTTGGTTTTTACTTTAAATATTTAGCGTCTTGGTCTTAATAAGTGTTACTTGTACTGGTGTCTTAACTAGTCAAATTATTAATTCTGTTAGTGAAAATATTTTTAAAAAAACTTTAATAAATAACATTCAATTTTTTGTTTTTTTTAGTATTATGTTGTATTACATACAGTTAATAGATAATATGTACAGAATATATACAGAAATAAACAAAAACTAAACTTAATATGTACAGAATATATACAGAAATAAACAAAAACTAAACTTAATATGTACAGAAACTATTTTAGCATTTGTCTGAACTGGTTATGATAGGTACTTAAGATGTCAAACAACATCTTTATAAGGCATCTAGTGTGTTTCTTAAAATGTTTAGATAACAAAGGATTCCATAAGAAATACGTTCATCCAATACTTGTGCACTAAAATAAATTTTCATTTTTATAATTTAAAGTTGTAACGCGTCAATTTTAACTATTTCTAGTTCAGTATTTTTAATTATTAAAAGCTGTATTTATTTATTAACTCTTTATTATATTACACTACTATACTATACTAGTATATTATACTGTATATATTTCATAGTATTGACTATTCTTACTTATTTTAATGTGTTCATAATATGAACAGTAAAAGTATGTTTTTTATTTAATAAATGATTGTTTTTTTCGTTGTACGAGGTATAAACAAAAATAAAGAGTGACAATGAAAAAGTACAATTTTTTTTGTTTTTGTATGGCTTTTTTAACAGTCATAAGCTTAAAATTCAATAATAATATTACTAACAAACATTTAAATACTATATTATGCTATGTTTATTATGATAATAGTAAAATAAAAAAACAAGTAACAAGATAAATAATACGCTTATAAGATACGAATAAACATTGTTATTTGCTAAATCATATTGAAAAACTAAGACTAAATAAAATTAACATATCTATAATTAACTTGTAAATAATAGAGGTACAACATATTGCTGTATATAGTGATGTATTTATAGGAAGTTACCTTGGACGGTAAAGTTTGTTTGATGATTTCCCACTAGAAGAAATCCATCTCCATTTACATATTCAAGTTAAAAAATATTTATAAGTATATTCATTCAATTTACTTTTTTACACTTAATCCAATAGTTGACATTTTTTTTTTTTTTATTTTGTGTTTTATAATTTTATTTACTTTATTACTTATAAAAACTTAATCGTAAACCACTAGAAAATTGTCAATAAATTCTGTAATAGCTAATGCCAAAACTATGCCATCATGAAAATAATTTCAAGATTTGGATTAAGACAATAACATATTTTAGAAATATTAACATTCTCAGCAGCATTTTAGATTAAATTAATATTAAATAAAGAATTCATCATTAATAATTAATAAATAATGTATAATAATTATAGATATGTTAAGTATATGTGTGTTTAAATACTTAGAGTTTAAAAACTTTATGTCACTTTTAAAATGATAAAGTACTTTTAAATTATTTTATTGAATTACATTTTTAGCTGAATAATTAAATATATATAGTTGTCTAATATTTGATTTGAACTTGTGAATCCATCTTATTCTTCTTACTGACTTAATGGAAAACCGTTATCTGCAATAGTGTGCCACAGTAACTAAAAAATAATAATAATAAAAATAAATTGTTAGAGATGAATTCACAGAAATTAACTAAATTATTGCAAACTGATGATCTTATATATTTTACCTTAAAATAAAACACCTATAAATTTACTGAAAATTGAATACCACAACATTCGACAATGTATTGATGGAATTAGATTAGACTGATTGACTACAATAATATAATACACCAAATTTGACGTTGGTAGTAGTGTAGTTGTAGACAATAACAAATATCAATTTAAGTTGAGATAGTCCATATTAATATTGAACATACTGAAACATATAATTAAAAAAATTAAATAAGTTCCTTAGATACTTAAATAATTATATGGTTAAGCAACAAATATCAGTATACACATATATTTTTTATAATTATATAAGTATGATAATTTTTAAGTTAAACGTTAATTTTTAAGTAACGCTATTTAATTAAACATATTAAGTATGATAAACATAAGTAATCCAAAAAAACTTATTATGTAAAAACATTTTATATGTTCATGAATAATAAAAAACGATTAATTATATTTTTCTAATAAAAAAATGTACTTATACAATACACCTATATTAATAAATACATTATCTTACCTATTATTGATTCAGTAAATGATGATTGAAGATTCAATTTTTTCATAAAAAATTTTATATTTTTTCTTTGAATTCAGATACCAATATGTTAAAACACAAAACTACACATTTATAAGTTTCTCAGAACAAAGACATAATACTGTAAGAATAAAAGTTTTAATTAAAATATCATCAAGCATAATTCAAATTACTCTATTTATTTTAAATAACATATTATTATTATAAGTACCTTTAATTTTGATATTTGATGTGCATACATTTTATAAGTAAGGTTATAGGTTTTATAGACTTGTCACTTGAGCAAAACTCCATCTTGGTATTCACATTGATTATGGATATTTAATATCAATGTTATTATTTAAAACACAATAAATGTTGACAAGTTCATAGATCTAGTAAGTTATGATACTATATTATTATAATATACTATGAAATTAAGACGTACAAATCGCATGACTAATCAAAATGTGTCAAATTAACCAAAACATATAATTGCTAAATGCTGGAAAAATATACACAGGGTATTGATAACAAATTAAACATACTTACTATTTTATAAAATAAATGTAGAAGTGTGTAGTGGTGGTATATTTGTCAGTCGATATAGCGGTTATCATTATTATTTACTATCGGTGAATTATTTACCTAAAGTAAATAGTGTTTGGTACGGTTATGATTTTTAAACGCTACTATAGCTATTGTCAAAGTTAATTGTCAATAAATAATAACAGAGAGCAGTCACCTTAATATGTTAGCGTCTCCAAGATATTTAATTTATTTTTTACACTCCCTTTAATTTTAAAACTGTGTAGCTCGTTAACTACTCAATCGATTTACCTAGTTTTTACGCCTAAAATTAAATTTAAAAAAAATAAACACGATCATCAAAAAAAAATTGGGGGTTACCATTTAAAAATCCAAAGTTGATATGGTTTTAACGCATAAGGGATGGTGTTAAAATTTTGAAAAATACATTAAATTTGTCCCACCTAATAACTATAATAATACAAAAAAAAAATTATTAAAAAAGTCTAATATCTTCTAAGATATTGAGTGGTCCATAGTTAACCAATCACCCGGTACATTGCATAAACTTTTAATTTGAGAATAATGTACTAAACATTTGACTGGTCAATAACCAGTTTTGGATAACCGATTTTGAAGTTATTTTTAAGTTTCAAGTTCAGGACAGGAGAAAAGGGGGAGTGTAGTATTATTTTTTACACATTTTAATAACTTTTGAATAATTTATAAATAATTATGCACACAAAACCAGTTATTGTTTAATGTATAATAGATTATTTTTTTAAAAAAAACACTTTCTATACTAACAGAGAAGCACGAGGTAATGGATACTTAAGTTAATTTTGAAAATGAACTATACAAACCCATATGAAAAAAGTAATCGCAACTACATGCCTACTACTTTTTAGTTGAAAACATTTTTAATAATTTAAAAAAAAAGGATTTGTTAAAAGTTATTATAAATTTAAAGAAGTGTTAAATACTTTTTTTTTAAGACGGAGGACATTCTGCGACTGCATAAGGTAATCTATACTAATATTCTTATTTTAAACAGATGAAAAAATGACGCAAATAAAAAAAACTACATTTTATTTGAAAATACTTTTTTAAATTAAAAAATAAAGTATATGTTTTAAGTATAAATTGTTTAAAACAAATTTTAATTTTGTGTTTAATATATTTTTTTTTTTTTTTAAGGAAAATAATGATGCGTCCCGCCAAATGGTAATCCAAATTTAGTATTTAATCTTAAACGGGTTGCTTACATGTTATAAACTGGTATTATTATATAAAAGTGTATAATTCTTGAAACTTAAAACTATACTAAAATAAGTATTACAATTTTTCAAAAAAAACATCATGTTAATATCATTTTAGGTAAAGGAAATATTGAACAGGAAATTTCGAATCTACAAAATAGTATCAGGTGAAGAACCAACGACTGATTACGACGGTAAGGATAAAGTTTTATCATTAATTAAAAAAAATATATATACATTCCATTATTATTTTGATATTGAAAAAATCCAAATGAAAATCCGCACTTATACTCAAAGAATTGTACTCGACATTATTGTAATCATCAAATTTTAACTGTACTTCGGAACTAATTCAAAGCTTTATTTAGGTGTTCCGATTGTCCCAGTCTCACCAGAAGAGCATGCGAGGATAATTAACGAAGATAATGCGTACCTGAATGACGTAAATAATATATTTTAGTACTTAATATTAAACACATGTAAAAGTATCGCAACTCACATAATAAAGTTTTGATTTAACCCAGGACTACATATAAATGCACATTTTTGGCTTTTGGTATATACAATTACGGATGATAGTAATGTGTTATATAAGCCGGTTACCTACAACAACAAATTCTAACACTAACCTTTCACCAAAACTATAACCTAACTAATATTTGGACACTCAAATTATTAATAAAAATAACAATTAACTTAAATTTAAACTGATAATCGATTTTTAAAAAAGGGGCATTAATATTTTAAATTTTGAAAAAAAATATTTAGTAAAGTCAAGAAACCTAAGGTTATTTTGAGCAATAGAATTTGAGTTTTAATAAAATTATTTTTTGAAATTGAAAATACATACTTTGCAATTTTAAAGTTTCTACAAATTTGTATAAATTAAAAATATATTTAATGCGCTTAGTCAATGTATTTAGCCTCGATTTTTAGTAGATTAATAACACTATTGGTTGACTTTTATGTTATTAACTAGCATTATTAGATTATAGTTTATAATTCTTGAAATATAAAATCAACTAGTAATAAAAGATGTCATAGGAAAAATGTTTTTATTTAAACAATTCTAAATATTTTAATATAATTTCAGATAGCGGAAAAGGCCAATGTGCTATGGCGTACCCGCTATCCCCAATTAGTAAATAATTTCCTAGGTAAGTTACGTTTAAAGACAAATTTCGAACAAACGTTTTTTTTTACTTTATTTCTTTTTATTTGTGGTATCTTACACAATTTAAAGTATCATAATGACAAATGTATCAAATGGTAGACGATTTTGTTGAATTTATTAAAACTGTTTTAACTGTATTTCGAAACTAATTCAAAACTTTTTACAGAAGGTCCGATTTACCTAGTCTCACCATTGCCGCAGATGATGGAAATTGAATAAGGTAATCGATATTTGGTATTTTATCTTAAAAACATGTATATTAGCGAAACCATACATAATAATGTATGGTTTTAACCCAGGCATGTAACTCGATGCACAACTTTGGCTTTTGGTTATGGTTTTTTAAATAAATTTTGAAATATTTTCTGTTTTATTAAACAATTTTAAACACCTTATATTAACTTAGGGTTGACTGTAACTATTGTTATTTAAGTCGGTTTCTTACAAACAAAATGGTATCACTAACTTTTAACCAAACCTTAGCTGACCCGTAAACTAACTAATATTTAGATGCTCGATTTATTGTTAAAAATAAAAATGGACTTTAAACTGATATAATAAATTCAATTTTATATTTATTTAAGGTTCGGTGACACAAGGATGACTACATTACTACAGAAAAAAATACATCACTATGAAATCGAATATATAACTTTTTCTTTTAAGCAATGCTTTGGATTGTAACATATATTTCGTTTGCTTAATACTATTGTTATTATATAAATATTAAAATATTATATTTCTTGATCCTTTACACATTTGTCTTTCATGTTTACACTGGTTTTCAATAGTTAGATTATGCATGTTTACTATTATTGCCTGTTTATTATTGTTGTAGTTCTTTATAATTTTTCATTAGAAACTCTCGCCTATCAATATAAAGATTTTGTCCTTAGTGATACACGATGTAGTGTAAAATTATAAGTTTTAATATTGTTGTAATTAATCATACACTAGACACAAATAAAAAAATGACACGAAAATTTGAAAACATATTTTTTTTTTCACTAATAGAATTAATTTTTTTAAATGAACAGTTTCATAATTAGAGCTTGTATCTTTAAAGATACACTGATACGTGACTTTAATTTGATATTTGTAAATGAAAAGATACACTACAACAATTTAGCTAATTTGCAGTTTGTATATTTAAAGATGCAATTCTTAATAGACCTATTAAACCTAGAAACGGCAGAAGCGGCTCTTTTCAATGCGCGCCTTTTGCCAGCATGTTCTTGCGACTACCAGGGAGGTGTCAGCCAGTTGCGCACCTATGTCGGTATTGAGGCGGTCTTAGCTGCCCTGAACAGTATGCCGTCGAGGCATTTAGACTTCACGTTTAGTTGTCCATACGAGAGGATCTGCTCGGACTCTGTAAGTAAATTGACCAAGTTGACCATAAAGCGCTCCCAATTCACTTCAGTGGAGTAGATCCTGTCTGGGTTTGCGACCGTGGCCACCAAATCTGCGCCCAGTACAAAACATATAACTCTATGATCACTTGAGGTCTTACAGACCAATTGCTGCCTATGCCTTGCAGGTTGTTGGAAACAATAGTGGCATCGACGTTAGAGGCACCAGTGGGGCCAGAGTACGTGGTGTAGTTTGACAGGTGGTTAGCCAATATAAGTCCGTTCTGCACAATAAATAATACTTCAATTACTTCACCTATATCTTCAGTTTGGCGCCTAAGCCACCGACGCGAGTAGGCGTTGAAGTCCGCGGCGATGAGATAGTCCCCTTCAATATTATCGAGTAGCTGTTGTAGGGCGTGTATGTGTACAATAGTAGGTATTTGGTATCTCCTTGAGACGCCATAATTCTGGTTACTGCTATGTTGATGTACTAATTGTCACTATTTGAAACATTATTTAAAATTGTATACAGTGTTATAAAAGGGCGGCTCAAATGTGTTGCCTCGGCGCGTGAATTGTCTAAATACAGCACTGCAGGAAGTTATGATTAAGCCATGAAAATTGGAGGGCCTCTAGATGTCGTCTAAACAAAGGCGCGTGGCGAGTTTGACGGGCCTGGGTCCAAAATTGTGGCCAGGACCCTTAAGTCCCTGAAAAGGGATTTTAGGTCCCCGGAGTGTGGCGGGTCTCGTAGACTATGTTAAAACAAAATATTCAACGCTTACACGGTCCCGATCGGACGCGTTGCCACGTAGTTATTGACTCTCAAAAATTCAAAAAAGGAGGGGGGGTGGGTGTAATTTATAATATGTAATGGGCCTTGGCGGGTCAAGGCAGGAACCGTTGACCCGGGGTTCGAAAAACAATTGGTTCGTCCGTAATGGCGGTTTGAAGTTAGCGGGGGGTGGGGTAAAATTAAAAAAATTGAATTTTAGGTACCCGGGCGTCCCGGTACACTCTGTACATTAGCACTGGTGTCACTCAGTATTCGAATTTAAAAAAAATTGTAAATGTTTGCAATGAACTTTAGGGACACCCTGTATACAGAAGGGTGTCACCTTGTATA